TTAGTTTTGTTTTGTTTTTACTAATTTTACATATGTAAGTAATATATAAACACACAAAAAATACATATAATACAAAAAAATTAACATTACAAATAGGTTTAAAGTACCTGGTATGTGCTATCGTGAGTGCTGTGAAGTGTGTAAACCTGGCGATTCACAGACCTGTACCCCTGGGGAAAAAAATATATGTTTATAAAAAATAAAATTTAAAAAATAAATAAATAAATAAAGTACCTGTTGGCCAAGATCTCCGAATCTGATACCTTCTTTGGAGGTCCCCACCATCGTCAGAACGATGTTAAATCACATGCATCTATTTATCCTCAATTATAAATTATAAAATTATAAAAATATTTAAAATGAAGGTACATGTGGTTCTGCAGCTTGCTTTTGTCATGTGAGACTATCTTGCTAACCTTTCCACGTCAGTAAGTGCACGCATTGAGTGCTTCCGTAACCGTCGCTCTTCCAAGCATTGCATATCTATGAATGCATTTGGTCCTCGCAGCTATGTTACCACTCTCAGTGCTATGTTACCATCGTGCCCATTTTGCAGCTGCGGATGCTAAGGGACAGAGAGGTTAGAGAAATTGCTCAATTTAGTGACTGGAGCCTCCGATCTGGATTCTGTTTGAGGGAGACTTAACTGCAGATCACTGTCATGGTAACTGTTTTTCACCACCTCTCTGAGATACATAAACCTACCTCTGAATGCAGGGCATAGCAACCCCCAAACCCGCAGGCCCATCTTGTGCGAAGGTGCAGTGGCTGTGAGTGATCGGCGGCTACTGTTCAAATTTTAAATTGCCACCAAGTGGCTCATGCTCAGCACCGTAGTTGATAACAGCATAAGCGAGATCATAGAGGCAGGACTGTTTTTGAGGAGAATAATGCCCTTAAGAATGCAGAGCAGCCCCCATGTCATGCTGCCCCATTCCCCCCTTCCCTGGCCATCTCTGTCTGATCTGCGGGCAGCGTTCCATTTACGTCAAAAATAACGTCAACCTAGTGAAAAAACGGAATGACTCACAGCCTTACTGGAGGGAACTTGTTGCTGTGTGATAGGATATATAACATCCTAATTTCACAGAACATTTTTCATAACAGCTGCTAAAATCATAATCGAATCCATTAAATTTTTTTCAAGGATGCAATTCGAAACAATATTGAAGCTGATCTTAAAAGGCAGGTATATTGAGGTCAAGTCCCACCCACGCAGCACCGCTCTGTCATGAGTCACTTCATATCTTTGCTGTTTGTCTGTCTGTATTTGTTAACCCACTCGAGTCTGCCCATCTTTTGTATTTCTAGCTGCATTTGAGTCAGAGTTAGGCTCCCGCCCCCCACCCTGCCGCCCAGAGACTGGAGGGTCTGAAAAAAGGAATAGAGAAGGAAAGGAGAAATGAAAAGGAAATTTCCCTCTGATTCTTATGGACAACAGAACACAAGAGCTGGAGAGAAGGGGTAGAGGAAGAACCCAGGTCTTGGCTTTATAAAAACAGTGTTAGGTTATTGATTAAGGTCTCTGTTGAGAGTGAATGACAGTGAGAGAACATGGCCACCTAAGCCCTTTCATTCAGTAGTGTATGACTTAGCTATGTGGAGCCGGTTGGATTTCTTCTGCCACAATGTCATCCTCAAAACTGACAGCTAATTTTTTTAAAAAAGATTTTATTTATTTATTTGACAGAGAGAGAGAAAGCGACAGAGGGAACACAAGCGGGGGGAGCAGCAGAGGGAGAGGAAGAAGCAGGCTTCCCACAGAGCAGGGAGCCCAATGCAGGGCTCTATCCTAGGACCAAGCCGAAGGCAGATGCTTAAAGACTGAGCCACTCAGGTGCCCTGCCAGCTAAGTTTTTGATGTAAGAATTTTACTCCTTGGATAAATATAAAACCAAATAAAATCCCTCAGATTTCTTTCTAAGATACTATATACTTCTGGAGATTTGCAAGGTTAGAACCTGACCTGTATTTTTGTTTGGAACATAAAGTAAGACTAAAACAAAGACTCTATGATGGCACAAGGTTACTTGTAAAGTTTACTTTCAGAGTTGAGAATGACCTTCCAGGAGGCTGATAAGCACTTTTTTTTTTTTTAAGATTTTATTTGTTTATTTGAGAGAGAGAGAGAGCAAGCAGGGGGAGGACCAGGAGATTGAAAAGCAGACTCTGTGCTGATTACAGAGCCTGGCACAGGGCTGGATCCCAGGACCCTGAGATCATGACCTGAGGTGAAATCAAGAGTCTGATGATTAAATGACTGAGCCACCCAGGCGCCCCAAGAGAACAGGCTTCTGAGCACTGAGCTCTATCCTGTCTCATCCACAGATTAGCTGTGTGATGCAGTTAGTAAACAAGTTAGTAATCTTCTTTGAGCCTTGTTTTTCCTAACTGGAAAGGAAAGCGGAGATAGAATCCCTGAGGTTCTTTTGAGCTACAATATTCTGATTCTTGAACAACATGATAGAAAAAGATAGCTTCTGGTTACCCAACCACGTAAGTCCTATACACAGTTTCCTTCTCTAGCTCACACCTCCTCTAACACTCCTGAGGGCGATGTAGCTTGCTAGCTCCAGACTTCCTGCTGTTGAAGTGAAAGTTCTCCACTCCACTCCATTTTTCTGGCTCTTTACTTAAAAAACATTCATTCTTGGGATGGAATATATAAATTGCTGAATGGTAATTCATGAAGCACTGCTAAAAGCCTCATGTTCTGGTCCTCAAAATTCCTCGATTGGATGCAGTGTGTTGTTGGCCACTTGGACAGTGGACTTAAGGCGCTGCTTTTCCAGCTGACTTCATCTTTGATAGATGTAATTCCGTATGCCTACCTAGTGCTAGCTGATAATAAAGTAGGTCTTCTAGACTGCTGTTTGGAAGTTGTTGGATATGAGTACCAGGCAAATTCATGAATAATAACAGAGCCGGAAGTCCCAGAATAATTCTCTGCCCTTGAAACCCTGCTAATAAGTAGCTCTCATGTTCCCTTACTTTATTTCTTCAGCGCCTAGTGGTGGAGTAGCTTCTGCAATTCTGGATGTTGGGTGCTACATTGGGTCCTCAGGGGCCAGGATTCTGTTGCAAAAGAAGCCATGTTAACAAAAGGAGAACAAGCTTCCTCCTTTAGTCTTCTTGTCACCCAGTAACCAACACTGTTACAAAGCAACCGATTAAGAAATCCGAGAATTTGGGCACCTGGGTGGCTCAGTTGGTTAAGCAACTGCCTTCGGCTCAGGTCATGATCCTGGAGTCCCAGGATCAAGTCCCACATCAGGCCCTCTGCTCATCAGGGAGCTGGCTTCTCCCTCTGCCCCTTGCCCCTTTCATGCTCTCTCTCTCAAATAAATAAAATCTTTAAAAAAAAAAAAAAAAAAGAAATCCGAGAATTAATTTTTTCTATAGTTTTCAACATGTCTTCCTTTTTATGCTTTCTTAACACATATGTGGAAGATAAGTAAGTATATTCTATATGTAGCCAATTGGAGAAATGTATTTCCTAGATTAGTCACATTATATGTGATTTTGCAATAAAAACATTTGAACTGTAATGGCGGGAAAATTCTTTTTCTAGTAGCTTGTTCAACCCTAGCTCAATTTGGAGGGCACAGACTAGTAGCCTGGGAGTCAAAAAAACAAGAAAAGTCATGGCAGCTCATCAACCAGCCATGCAGATGAGGGCGAGTTACTCAAGTTCTCTCAACTTCTGGAGAGGATAAAACATAACTTGGTGGCTCTGTCGCATGGGGTTGTGAGGAATACATGAGACGGTTGTGTGACTGCTTTGTGTTACAGAAGATACAGTCCACATACAAGATAGATAAACTGTGAAACGGGCTTGTATGACAGCCTGTCTAATTATATTATTGCTTTATATATTATATTATTGCTTTCATCTATGTGGTGTTCCCACATTTTATATGTAAACAAGAGCTTGTAAGGTTGATTATCTCCCAATTATCACAACTAATGAACTCTTAATCGGCAGCTGCAGGTTTAGATTTTATTGAAAGGAAGAAATTAAAGTGATCAAGGAGATTATTTTTCCTCCATTGACATGTAAACAATGAAGAGATGACTAATTAGAAAATATTTAGCTGTCCTTTATAAATACCTGAATAGTCTGACTTTTTTGAATATTCGCAATTTTCTTTCAAATACAGGAAATGAAGAGTCAGAACCTTTCGTAAATATTGTCACCCAGTGGATGTATCTCCTAGGGAATATATGTTTATATAATTTTTTAGAACCATATGCCACATGCAAAGTTCCATAGGTAAGAGAAGCACAACCTGAGATGCTTCCTTGTTCTGCTTTTATAATATATTTAGAGCACACCTTCGTAATAACACTGTGAAAGGGTATTTTCTCCAGTAATGCTACTGTAAGAAATTGTTTTGTTCCATTAATATCAGTACACATTAATTTTCTGCAACTCAGTTATAAGCTTTATTTTTAATAATTTAAATCCAGAAGCACTTAATTAATTCTGTGAACATTATGACTTCATTTAGTGACTGCCACTCTAAAAAGATAAAGCAGGATTGATGACCAAACTACATTTTTTTAAGGAGCAGGATTCCAGATAAATTCAACCAAAGGAGAACTTTTCCTCAGCCAACGCCTACATAAATCAATGGGTAACCTTTCCTTCTCCCTTTGGAATGGTGACTTGGAGTCCTGACTTGGACTCAGGGCCACAAAATTAAAGGTAGTGAGAGGCAGACCACAGAGGACCACGCTGGCTCTTTGAATGTAACATTTTTTTGTTGCCTTGGTCACCTTTGGTGTTGGTTTCTTCCATTAGGCTTTGTACACTTCTCCTAAATCTCACAGACTTGTTTGTTACCCATGGGATATCAGACAGGCTGGCATGGTTGTCACCGATTTTTTTCCCGGTGTTAATGATAACCTTGAGATTTTTGTTATCAGGGCCTGTGGTCTCTTTGACGATCCTCTCCAAAGGTTCCCTCACCGGTTATTTTGCTTTATTCTCTCCTTAGACTTGAATGAGGCAGTCCCAGAGACAGAGCGCCTGGATTCAAAAGCACTGAAAACCCGAGCCCAGCTCTCTGTGAAGAACAGACGCCAGAGGCCCTCTAGGACAAGACTCTATGATAGTGTCAGTTCAACAGATGGGGAAGACAGTCTGGAGCGGAAGGTGAGCTGACTGATTTCTGACTTGCAGTGTCGAGCTGTCTCCTTGTTCCTACAGCTTTTTGAAGATGATTTTTCTGCAGCCAGATTCTATGCCCTAAGATGGAAACAGCTGGAGTAGTTCACTGTTTTGTCTCCTAAATTCTTGCTCAACTCGATAAATTGTAATTCAGCTTATTTCTGTACTCATTCAATGAACTAACCCAAGACATTATCCCTATTGTCATATTTCATGATGGTGTTTTTATATTCAGTTGTTGGTTTTACCTAGTGGGAAATAAGGAATGTACAAGTAATTGTTTCTATATGCCTTAGGTGTCTGTTTTAGCTACAATGGTAATATGCTGAATTGTTGTAAACTATGCAGTCTCCTCTGTAAACCCACAAAAAAATTGGTTTTCAAGGGAAAATTTTTTACTAAAAAAGTTTGGTCTGATTTCAAAGTAAGTATTCCTGGAGCTGATGCTCAGCGGCATAACCTCCTTTATAATCTCTTATACCAACAGCCGTCAAACAGTTTCTATAACCACACGCACATTTCCAAATCACTTCTGCCCAAGGGTTTGAGAACTTCTCCAGAATCAGATTCTGGTGCTCCATCCCTCACTCCAGTGGCTGGCAGTGTGCCCTTCTCATCTGACCACATAGCTGAATTTCCAGAGGGACCACTGAGCCCGGAAAAGGAGCCTTCCTCCCTTATTTGGGGAGACACTTCACTCTCCTCTCCTTCAAAATCTGACCATGATATGGAAGAATCTCCATGCCACCATCAAGCCACCACCAAGAAAACACCACAAGAAAAAGGTACTGTTGATTTTTGTTGTTGTTTTGATTTTGTTTTGTCTATCTTCACTAACTCCTTGATTTGTACAATATAAGAACAGCTTTTTTTGGTCATAGTCGTAAATCCTTTGTCTTCTCACACCTAATAATTAATATTGCTTTCTTTTTATGTTGTGGGATAAGAGCCCATGACTCTCCCATTTTATTTATTTATTTATTTGTTTGTTTAGTTTGTTTATTTATTTATCTTTTCCTACCAGGTTAGTATTTTTACTTCTTTCGCTGTCCACAAGTTTACTATTATTGAAGGAAGTTCTTCAGGAGGCCTCCTAGAGATTTTGTAGAGTAGCAGCCCAGAGTTTCAATGAACACTTAACATACTCACTTTGGGGGAAAAGAAGTGTATATAATATATATGTAAAAATATATATGTATATAATATCTATAAAAATACATTACATATACACATATACATATTTATACACATATGTGGGGGGTGTGTGTGTGTGTGTGTGTGTGAAGATGAAAGCAATATAAGTTTTAAACCATTAATTGGTTTTTATTTAGAAGAAATTTTCACAGTAAGGATGTATTACAGAAATTGTGACAGGAAAGCTATGATAAAGATAATACAGAGATTAATCACTTAAATTTTAAAATAAGCCCCTAGAATTAATACCAAAATTTCATAGTCATATCAATAGACTTTCATCATTTTAATTTACGGAAGAAACAAATTCTCATTCAACAAGTTAAATGATACAGAGATGTATAAAAATTAGGTTCATTCTTTTCCTACCATGTCTGAAGTGTCTCTTTATAGTAACCAAGTAAAGTTGGTTATATTATTGGTCCCATCTGAAATACAAGTAAGTATATATTACGTGTATTTGCATGCATGCCCATGTGCGTGCGTGTATGTGTGTGTGTGTGTGTGTGTGTGTAGATGTAAAGTAGAAAGTACTTTTTAGTATGCTTGTGTTTTGTTTTGTCTCTTTTTTTTTTTTTTACAAAAATGAATCATACAAGTCATTTGACTCTGCAGTTTTGTTTTGTACATAATAATATTTTATGGACATCCCTCTAAGGCATTATACCCAAATTAAATGATACGAGACTCTTATATAGTGAGCTTATAATGTAACTGAGACAACTATTCTGATATTGGTGGACATTTAGGCTATATTCTAGATTTCTTTTTGTATATTGCTTGTTTGCTTACCACTTTGAAAGAAGTTACAACAAGCATTTGTATATTTTTAAAATTTTTATTTATTTATTTGACAGAGAGAGAGAGACAGTGATAGAGGGAACACAAGCAGGGGGAGTGGGAGAATGAGAAGCAGGCTTTCTGCCAAGCAGGGAGCCCAGTGCAGGGCTGGATCCCAGGGCTCTGGGATCATGACCTAAGCCAAAGGCAGACACTTTAAGGACTAAGCCACCCAGGTGCCTCAGCATTTGTATATTCTCGTATACTGGACACTTTTACTTCTTTAGAATACATTTTCAAAAGTCGAATTGGTAGAGTATATTGTGCTGAAGAGAAAAATGTATAGCTTTAAATTCCTTTATTATTAAAAATAAAGACTGAAAAAAAAATATCAAGCTAATAGGAACAGAACAACTAAAAGGTAGGGGAAAAAGTAGAAAATAGGAGGCAGGTAAGAGATATAAGCTGAATTTAATTTTTAATGAAATGAAAAACCCATTCTTTTTTTTAATTTTAATTTTTTTATTAATATAATGTATTACTAGTCCCAGGGATACAGGTCTGTGAATCGTCAGGTTTACACACTTCACAGCACTCACCATATCACATACCCTCCCCAATGTCCATAACCCCACCACTCTCTCCTGAACCCCCTTACCCCAGCAACCCCCAGTTTGTTTTGTGAGATTAAGAGTCTCTTATGGTTTCTCTCCCTCCCGATCCCATCTTGAAAAACCCATTCTTAATTCCTGTCTCCCCCCAAAAATATTGTAACAGTGTGCAAATTATTCTAGCTAAAAGTGAAGAGCCGCTTGGAAGGACACAGTAAGGAAAAAAATAGAGAAACAAACAAAAAAATGTGGCATTGGAAATAAAGGAGATATGGAGATTAAAAGAATTTTTTTTTTTATAGATAGTATGTGAACTCAATAGATTTAAAAACCTAAAGGAAATGGAGTTCTCTACAAAATTAGTCTATTCAAATTGTCTAAGAGGAAAACTTGGATAAATCAATAATCACAGAAACACGAAATAGGTTTTTATAAACACTTCCATTTAGAAAGTTACTAGAGCCAGGTGGTTTTATAACTGAATTCTGCCTAACCTATTAAAAAAAAAACAAAAACAGATAGGCTCTATTTTATGCTAGTTATCCCAGGTAGGTGTTTATCATTTATTCAAGTAGCTGGAGTCCTAAAAACTAGTAAAGCCAGTGTGGAAAAAGGAAATCTTATGCATGTAGATTCATTTTAACTATGATGCTAATCAATTGAATCCAGGAGTGCAAGTTAATTATATTCCATAATCAGGTAGTAGTATTGATTCTGAATATGTAAGAATAGTTTGACATTAGAAAATCTAACAATATAAATCATCATATCAACAAAGGAAAGGAAAAGTGTTAGAATATTAATGGAAGTCGAGAGGCATTTGGTATAATTCTTCAGACATTTTCAGTAAAAACTTGTTAAAGTAAAAGTGGAATTAGAAAAAATTTTCTGAATATGATTGGTTACTTACCAGCAATCAACTACTAAATAGTGAATCTTAAACCATTTGCACAAGAATTAGGAATAAGACATGAATGCCAACTTCCACCACGATTTTCAAGTCTGTTTTTGAGACTTTTCTAATTGCAGGAAGATAAAAGAACATCAAATAATAAGTATAAATTTGAAATAGTAAAGACAAAAGTATCTTTATTTAAGGATTATATGAATATTCATCTAGAAGATTAAGTGGCCAGATATAAAATACATATATGAAATTAATATCTTCATGAGTGTAACGGTGAAGTGTCTACAACTTACTTTGAAATGCATTTGAAAATTAATGGATTAATGGATCACTAGAGGGACGGCTATATGATAAAGCAAATGTAGTAAAATGGAAATTGTAGTGGATATACATTTGTTCACTATAAATTTTTTTTATCTTTTAAAAAAAACTGAGTGGTAGAAAGGAATGTCATTTTTGTCTATACTGATCTAAAGATTTGCTACAACAGATATTTTTGTGGAACTTGATAAGCTGATCCTAAATTTATAAGAAAGGAAAAATGGCTGGGAATACCAGAGACTCGTGTGTGTGTGTCTGTGTGTGTCTGTGTGTGTGTACCTTATTTTATGACAGCTGGTGGGTGGATCCGTGGAGAGAAAATGGAGGTTTTTTACAAATCGCTCTGGGACAACTGGTTATTCGTATTTTTAAAAATTACATTAGATACCCCCCATACCTTGCAAAACAACCTATTCAAGTTGGATTTAAGACTTAACTGGAAAGTAGCTGGGAAATACAAACTATTTAACTTTTAAAAGACTGTATAGAATATTTTTGTGACTTTGGGTAGACAAGGATTTCTTAAACAAGACACAAAGAAAAAAAAAGAAAGAAAAGATTAATAACATCAGATGATATTAAAATTAGGAACTTCATTTCTCAAACACACAACAAAGAATCCCACAAAAGTGGAGAAGATATTTACTGTCTGTGTAACTAACACAAAGTTAGCATCTAGATTATGTAAATAACTTGTATAAATTACCTGGAAAAGACAAATGATACAGGAGATAATATATAATGTCCTGAACAGGCACTTCATAGAAAATGAAAACCAAAAGGCCAAAATATTTATGAAAGATGTTCAACTGCATTAGTAATCAGGAAAGTATGAGACAAACCAGATAAGATACCATTTTATACCTACCACATTGCCATAAATATTAAAGTCTGATGTTACCAAATGCTGGAAACTATGTGAAACAATCAGAGACAGAAGAGTTTTCATCATGCAGGTGGAAGTGTAAATTGGGGCAAGCTCTTTGGAAACAATTTGGCATTGACCTAGTAAGGGTGAAAGTGTGCATGCCCTTGACCCAACCAGGTCCTACACTTGCCTACTGAGAATCATGTACAGGAGTATTCATAGCAGCCCTACTGTGTGATCAAAAGCAACAACAAACAACTGGGAAAACCTAAAAACTGATAACTCCTGGAATAATCACAAGTAAAATAGTTAAATGAATTGTAGTATATTCATAGGATGAATCACACTGAAACATAACAACAGGCATGTATCTCTGGAACGAGACATTGAGAGAATAAACCAAATTGCAGAAGAATCACTGTGGTTCTATTTAGATAGTGCTAAAAAGTGAGTTACTTAGAGATACAAACAAAATGCTGAGGTTGTAAGTGGGAACGACAAAAGTCAGTTACTTGGTGGGGACTGTCCAGGAACTAGAATGTGGAAGGACATACTAGGGACTTTGCAGGTAGAAACTGTGGTGAGGGTTGCGAGGAATAAATGAAATGGGTGTTGGCTTTATTGTTTTTTTTTCATACTCTACAATCATCTAATAAATACTATTGGTTACAGTAGTCAATAAGCATAATAAAGGACCCCATATAGAAAATTAATTGATGGACTTTAATATACAGGTAGCTTCAAGGAATTTTTAAAAAGTCAAAAATTGGCAAAAGAAATAAACTGTTGGTTCACTGAAGAGAAAATTTGCATTGCTTATAGGAAAAGATGATCAGCCTCACTAATGATCAGAGAAATGATCACTTAAATTAGATACCACTGGATTGCCAAAGTTTTAAAGAATTCATGAGCTGGGGACACCTGGGTGGCTCTGTTGGTGAGGCATCTGCCTTCAACTCAATTCATGATCTCGGGGTCCTGGGATCGAACCCCACATCAGGCTCCCTGCTCGGTGGGGAGACTGCTTCTCCCTCTGCCTGCTGCTCCCCTTGTTTGTATTCTCTCTCTGTCAAATAAATAAATCTGAAAAAAATAATAATTCCA